CGGATCCTAGCTTATCACAGGCGCGGCCCACCTCCTGTCTCTTATACACATCTAGATGTGTAGCTGTGCTATCTTATACTTTGTATTGAAAGGTCGGTTCTTGTTCTGGTCTGCACCTATACGGTATGCAACATTCCTCCTTGGGTGCAGCCCTCAGCTCCTGCTTCAGCGGTGATCCTGGAGTGCAATTGCAAACTGTATCTTGCCCCATAGCGCAATTATAACTCCCTTTTGTGACTCTACTGAAGTTACCCCCCCCCCAAAAAAAAAAACTGGGATTCTCTGCCAGGTTATGAAGTCCAGAGTCCAGAAAGTTTGGTCCTCAGTTGCTGTTCGTCCATCCAGTCCTCCTTTTCTTCGTTGCAGGTGTGGCTGACTCTACAAATCCCTCTCAAAGTCCAAGATAGCCATCGACTATTCTTGTGGGTCAAGTTCCATGTATGGTTCATATCTTCCCGCACCCATTTGGGACCACCGCACCCATTTGGGACCACCGCACCCATTTGGGACCACCGGACCCATTTGGGAGCGTACAGGGGTTGTATCAGGACCTATTCTTGGGATTTGTGCGTGTGCCCCTTCTGGGGCATCACTTCTCTCCACATTTTGAACAGGGTGGTCCAGTAGGGTATGGGGGGGTTGTTTGCTATCTGATTTTCTTCTTGTGGGGCTATCCTTGTATTGTTTCTCTTTTTGGGGGCTACCCTTGAATTGGTTCTTTTTCGGACCGGTTTTTGGACGCCAGGGCTTGGTCATTATCCCAAATAGCGCTGACATATTGGTAGGGGACGACAAAGCATGATCATGTGTCCGCAAGTGATGCATGAGCTTGCCCATTGCCTACTGCCCGTAGGCCTGACATTTTGGTTGGGGAACTCTCTTGGGACTAGCTTCTTCCCGTCAATACAGTGTATGGTCGTTATAGCTGTATTTAGACTGAAAAAAGTAACCCCAATACGGCTATAATGACCGGTTATATTCGGGTGAAGACGATAGTAAACATATAAAATGGTTAGTGAAGGGCGAATGTTTCTTTACCAAGGTAGACCAAGCCAAGTTCTGTTTGAGAAGTAATAATTTGATTATCCATTTGACTTGGAGCGCTTTAGTCTCTCGTCTTGGGCTAGTAAACAGCATACCGTCTCTTGTTAACCTGACGGGAAAAAAAAAAAAACAAAAAAAAAAAAACCAGAAGTTCAGTGCAAACTTCACAGACAGTTGAAAAACAACTTTCGCTTGACGATCACCTCCAAATTCGTAATGAAATCGGGGATAAAAACATAAAAAGTTATTAAAACATGATATGTTTGACGATATATATCGTCCATATATCACAGAGAACTGCCCTGTTAAGCATAGGCAGGAAGAGAGACAAGGACAAGAAAATGGGGTCTACAACTGATGATATATATCGTCATATGTCACAGAGAACTGCCCTGTTAACCATAGGCAGGAAGAGAGACAAGGACACGAAAAGGCGGTCTACGGCTGACTTTTTTCACCGGAGCTTCAACGATTCATCAGGAGGCTGAACACTATTACTGTAAGCGATAAGCCACCTTGACCACATTTGCAGTTGGGCACCAACCACTGCCCCAGAAATGATAATTGTCTTGGATGGATTCCAGGACAGAAAAAATGGTCCTGGACCCTGGGCAGTTGGACTCATATTTGGGTCTTGGACACCGGGTAGCCTAGTGAATAATCGATTTAAAAAAAAAAAAATTGTTGACTACTCTTGAGTCTGTTTTTACTCATATTGACTGATGCTGCTTCCCTTGCTGTTACCTTATTTTCCTCTTTTTCCTCTTCAGGGAAATGCCAAGAGCTGCGTCAACTGGTCCAATTCAGATTTCACCTCTATCTTTGGATGTGAGTTTTTCTCCACCATGTATGAGAGTGGATCCTCAAGCCGTGAGAGAGAGGGAGAGAGCGAGAGAGAGGGAGAGAGAGAGAGAGAGAGAGAGAGAGAGAGAGAGAGAGAGAGAGAGAGAGAGAGAGAGAGAGAGAGAGAG